TAATGAAATGTACTACGGGAAAACCAACTCCAGTGCCTCTTCCAGCAACTGACAGGTTTAAAGAGATGAAAGGATAGGTTTGTGTTTTTCTGTAGTCTATCTCAAAACTATGCTAAAATATGATGTGTACAGTGAAAAGTTTATTGTTGGCTATTAGCATCCGCTTCATAGGCATGGCCAAATTGTAAGAAATTAGGGACAAATCCACTCTTCTTCTTTCATGAAAATTGTTTCCGAAACCTCCCAAGACCTGGGCTTTGATTCTGTGTGTATTTATATTAGTAGCATTGTCTTTGAAATGAGTATGTGTACCCAATGTGTAACAAAGAAGAAACAGACATCAGAACATGGCTGGCAAGTGACCCTAGAGGGCCCACAAATGAGGACAATAGGTCTAAGTTGAGCAGAATGAAGTATATAGTGCATGGATCTCAAAACCTAAATTCCCCATATGAGGACACAGGATTTTAGGAGGTTAAGTTAAGTTGAAGCTAAATAAGTCTTCAGCAGTCTAGTTAAAAAATTTAATTGATGTTGTTGTTAGGTCATTGTGTAGGTTCACTGTTAGGAAGTATCACACTGCTGCAGCTCAGCAACTAAACACACAAAGACTAACTTCTAAAAATACTTACGATATGTTTTGTGGCTTGTCTAAGTCAGACTGCTGAAGTCTCATAACTGTTTCTAATGAACTTATATATATGGCTGGTCTGGTTGTATACTCATGATTTCTTAATTTGGAATATGATGCAAAGATAGTGAAAAATAGACAGAAATGTTGTCCTCATTCTCTTACAGTTGAGTCAGATTAAGAAAGCGTTATAGAGTCAGTATAGACAGAAGGAACAGCCACCAGTAACTCTTAACATTTTGGCATGTGAGTATTGTATCAAGACAGGCTTGTGTGGGGAGCACCGATGAGCATGCAGTGCTGGCTTTCTTTTATAGTTATCCTCATAATTGGAGTGTTTGTATTTTGCAGTGCAAAGATGAACCAGACAGCTGACACTCCTCACTGTGGTCACTTACACTGATGCTCCTGGTGGATAAGACACATGCATGTCCACCAATGTGTCCCTGAGCAGGACACTTAACCCCTAGTTGCTCCAGAGGCGTGTGACCTCTGACCTATATAGCTATTATATACGTATACATATAGCTAGCTAAAGCGTCAGCTAAATGTTGATGTTCATGTAACGCCTGTACAAACTCCTGAAAGCACTTCTGAACTGGCCGTTCAGGCCAGCTGTGACAAAGTCAACAAGATGAGGTAAGCACGCACTCTCACACACACATGACGGGTGACATCACTGCAGCGGCTGATGATATAACTTCTTCCTCCTGCAGGTTCAGCGACTTCTTCGTCCTGGCGGAGGAGTATGAGGACTCCCAGACCAAGTCTCCCAAGTCCCGCCGTAAGGCTCTGGGCTCCTCGCTCACAACAAAGAGGAGAGCGCCTCCAGCAGCGCCTCGGTATGTAGCTCCACCTCCACCTCCACCTGCTCCTTTGTGTGAGGACAACCTGAATCTACGTGTTCTTTGATTGGTCCGTTTCAAAACTACTGATATTTAATGTGTCTGATTTGTGAAACCTGGAAGCAGCTTTGTGTCTTCACCAAGCAGGAACCTCCAGGTTTGAAAAGTGAAGCCTCAAACCTGCATTCTCTCTATCAGCCAGCAGGGGGCGACCCTGATTGTATAGAAGTCTATGAGAAAATGTGGCTTCTTCTCAGCTGATTTATTACCTCAGTAAACACTTCCTAATGAGTTTATGGTCTCAGTCGCTAGTCTTCTTCAACACAGCATGATATTTTGGCAGCGCAAAAGTATGTATAGTAATTATAATTACTAGTCCTATTTGTAACTGGCAGGTTAAGTTTCACAATGTCACGTAAGTCACCACTTTAGCAATCCGGAAATAGATCAGGTCAGCTCCGGGCTTCCTCTTTCCGCTGTTGCTGCTGCATAGTGTGGTTGTGTACCGCTGCTCTGTTCCGTTGTTCGAGGTATGTAACACCTGTATACTTTCCAGTGTAATTCTTGGTTATGTAGTGCGCTAAGTTTGTGAGTACCTATACTGCTATCCTAGATTGACGCTCTGTGTGGTCCGTGCTGTATCTGTGTGGTCTCTGGAAGAAATGGCCTGTGAAGCATGTACACGTTTGCAGAGATTCGTAAGTTTTGTGAACAACCAAGGTACTTTTTCTTAAGTAGAGTACCAGTTTTGTTGTTCTCTTTTGTTTATGTAACTGTACAGGGACAAACACTAACTGCTGTTTTTGTATCCATGCTGCTGCTTTGCCTAGCCTCAGTTATTAACTCACTAACATACCTGTTTTTATTATTTTAAGCTCACTTTTATTGAATACTTGACTGTTTTTATTTATGAATTGTTTTATAGTTGGTTAGAAGGAGATTTTATTTATTTTGAACACTGTGTTTCGTTAATGATTTTAATTTGGCTTTTAGGAAAACTGTTAACATAACATTTTAACTTTAAAGATTTCCTGATAGTGGTTATTCAAGTTATCTTGGTATCTTGGAGGAGGTGAAGTATAACAGGTGGCTCATCTTAATAACATTGCATGTATTTTTAAGTTTGTTATTTGGGTTTCATTTTTATATTTGTGTGATGTAGTGAATTTATAGCCTCTTTTATAAGATCTACACTGTAGAAATATAGACTGCAACCACTCTTTACCAATAGTTTTCCACTCATAAATAAAATTCAACTGTTATCAATGTAACATGTTGATCTTTGCTTGATTATCAATTTTGGCCGAGTCCTCCTTTGTGCCCGTTTACAAATTGTTATTATTATTTTTATTATTATCATTAAAATTACAATTATTATCATTAACATTACTATAAATATCTGTACCATTATTCATTCAGTCTGTACCAATATTACCTTTTACTGTCTGTACTTTTGCGTGGATATTGTGTAGGCTGCTCCCCCTCACCGCCATCCCTCTCTCCACCTTTATGGCTATCTCGTCTCTCTCTCCCTCACCTTCAACCAGTCCAGGCAGATGGCCGCCCACCCTGAGCCATGGTTCTGCTCGAGGTTTCTGCCTCTTAAATGGAAGTTTTTCCTTGCCTCAGTTGCCTAGTGCTTGGTCATGGTGGGAATAGATGGGTGAGTACGGTCTAGACCTGCTCTATATGAAAAGCACTATGAGATAACTGTTGTTGTGAATTGGTGCCAAAATTGAATTGAATTGAATTTTGAAATCTTACAAATTTTAAAACCATGATGCAACCCACATAATAAATGGAAAAACATTTTTACAATATGAAGCAATATTGTTTGGTTCTATGTCCTAAGCTTTACCCTATGTTCAGACATTTCTGCAGGTCAAAGCAGTAAACTGTTCACATTACCAGAAATTCTTTGGACATAGGTACCAACCAAAGCTATGCACCACAATTTTTCACTTCATAACTTTTGCTTACACAGCTGACTCAAGCCACAATGAAGGAGGCCTAGTGAGTATTGATAACCTGGATCTTGTGCTGTGTTTAGATTAACCCCCTCCACTGATTCCTCTAGTGCCTTCACCTTTGCTGCCCTCCTCAAGCCCCCATTAACCTCCACCTAAGAACCCAGTGGAGGCCATCCAAAGAATACAGTATGTAAGAACACAATCTAGGCTCTGCACTGTAGATGCAAGTTAGAAATGTCTGTAAAGGTACTAATATAATTTCATACTTCCAATTTTCCTTTCTTTCCACTGTATCCATTTTGCTGTAAACCAAGTAAAAAATCTGGGGTTTATAAGCGTAGAAGCTTTAATGCAGAGCTCTTATGGTGTACCTGAAGGACGACCACAGTGTAAATCTTCTCCCCTGAGGAAGGAAATTCAGGATGTGGCTTAAAAAGAAAGCAGAACTGTGTGTGTGTGTGTGTGTGTGAGAATGAGAGTGTGCGAGGGAGAGAGGAGGCATGTATGCGTATGTGTTGAGTGTGTGTCTGTGAGTATGTGTGTGTGGTCCTCTTAGTGAGGTGGAAAATTATTTTTAAGTTTTAGTTAAATATTTGCTTTTGCTTGAAGTTGCCAATAACATTTTTAGAGTTAAAGTAGGACTTGACACTGCTGAGACGTGTGTGAAAATGAATACTGAGAGTGGATGTTAATGTAGGATCCTATGAATGAGCAAATGCATTACACAAAAGGAAGGGAGATCCTGAATCTTATTTACTACATGAGAGGACAACAAGCAATCAAAGTCATGTTTATTTTCATCAGGAGTGTTGGAACCCATCTAGGATTTACATTGAGAAAATACACAGACACAACTGCAGACATCACAAATGAAGCCCAGGGTAAGTGTAGGAAGATTACGTTTATGCTTCATTCATTCATTTATTCACTCTCTCTCTCTGTCCTGTGTGTCTCTCTCTCTCTCTGTATATATATATATATATCCCTCTCAGTTCAGTGTGAAATCGCTGCGGCCCTTCTCCCCATTCACCTTCAATTCATCACATCCAGTTTGAGCTCATCAGAAGTCCGCTCTTCATCACATCCAGATCTTCAGTATTCTCTTCATCCCATCACCATTACCACAAGTGAAAAATGGCGGAAAAATGGGGTGGAAAAAAACACATTTGGGTGAAATGGTGTACTGATCAAGACAAGGGTACAGGGTAACAACATCTCAACTGAGCCATCTTAATTGAAACCAGGATGAACTAAATTGTAAAACAATACTCTCTCACTCAAACACACCACAGTATTTCTGTTATTGATGAGTTTGTTTTATTATTTCCCCTGTTGATTGTCTGATTCAAAAGCCAGTGACGCCAGAGTACTTGACTTGACACAGATAAATAGGGTTGCATTGCTTGAGTGACAGTTGTGGAATTGTGATAAGTAATTTGATCATCTTATGCCCCTTTTCCACTGCATGGTACCTGCTCGACTCACCTCGACTCTACTCGCCTTTTTTGGTTTTCCATCGGGGAAAAATAGTACCTGGTACTTTTTTTCATAGTGTTGTGTTGGTCAATGAACGTTTCGTTCATTTGAACTAATCTTTTTTTATACTCGAGAGGAACGAGTAGTCTCAGTCAATAATTGCTTCATTTGCATGCATGAATGGTCTTGGACTCTTACGTTCACTTTTCACGCTGCAGCTGCATGGACTCTGTCAGCACAGGAAACAGAATTGATTAGTTTGCGACTTACAACTGTGAGTCGTTCATTTGTCAAGTGATAGCTCGGCCTCTTGGCTGTGGAGCAGGAATGAAGTATTTATTCACCTTTCACATGGGTCCTCACCGTCTTTCGTTCATTGGGCAGGCGGACTTCCTGCCAGCGCTGGAGAATGAGCAAGTTGGTTGTCAGGTAAGCAGTCACTCGACTGACATTAAATAGCTATTTTGTTATGTGACATTTGTGACAATAAAGCATAATGTTATTACTGCGCTTTGATGCATTGACAGGTGGGACCTGGAAAATATAAAAAAAAAATAAAAAAAAGACCATTAGATTGTGTGGCACCCTAATATATATGTCTGGTCTGGTTGTTTACTCATGATTTCTTAATTTGGAATATGAGCAAAGATTGTGAAAAATAGAGTAGTGGGTATTGATTATTGACAAGATATTTCTGCGGTTTTTACATGGTTTGAATTTGGTTGTGGCCCTCACAGGGCCCTCTGGTCCCTCAGTCGCACAGACCACTGCAGCCAACGCAGCAGATGACTCATGCAACAATAGCAGAGGAAAACAAGATTTGCTAAAAAAAAAAAAGACTATTCTGTCTTTACATTCTGAGTAATGTTGAAACACTAACTTAAATCAAGAGACAGCTGGTGTGTGTGGGTCACGGGTGTGTTGTGTTGAACATTACGTCGCGGCAGTTATGTGCGGTGTTGCTATGACGACTATTACGTCGCGGCAGTTATGTGCGGTGTTGCTATGACGACTAGCTACACTGAGGGGGTACTATCTGCAATGGAAAACAGAGCATGGTGAGCCTAGAGCGAGTTGATATATATACACAGTATTTCCCAAAAGTGAGTACACCCCTCACATTTTTGTAAATATTTGATTATATCTTTTCATGTGACAACCCTGAAGAAATGACAGTTCCCTAAAATGTAAAGTAGTGAGTATACAGCTTGTATGTGTAAGTGTAAATTTGCTGTCCCCTCAAAATATTGCATCACAGAGCCATTAATGTCTAAACCGCTGGCAATAAAAGTGAGTACACCCCTAAGTGAAAAGTAGTGAGTGTACAAGCTGTACACTGGCACATTCAAAGTAAAAAGACAGACGGCGAGTGAGAGTTTGAGGATTAGGATTGAGATTTGGTCCCCCCAATGTTCACTTCATGCCTATGGCCTTGGTAGAAACAATGAAGTTGCGAAAGGGCAGAAGCTCTGGAAGAAAACAACCTAACGCTATGACAGAGATACAAAGACTCCTAACCCATCCTCTCTTAGCTAGCTATTGTTTTTCAGAAGTTTAAATGCAAAAAATACCTACTATTATGACACAGCTGCCTTTTGTGAGGGAAGCACAAGAATCTTGAGCAGATGTGATTATTTGAGTCTGTAACATGGAATTGCATCAACCAATCAGTGGACAAGTATCGAGCTAAGACTTAGTTTAGTTAGTTTTTAGAGGTGCGCTTAGTAACAACAAACTCTTATTAAAAAATATTATTATTAAAATATATGTATTATTAAAAAAATCATAGAAAACAACTTTTTGAATATGGCCTCTGTGTTCTTCACAATATTTAGGAACTATAACAAAAATGTGGTTTCGGAATGTAGCAAAAGAGGTTGAAATATTTGTTTCTAACTCTATAATGACTTAAGAGTTGTTGGTCAACACAGTTTGTTTCCACAGTTTTTTCACATTGTGAGGAATGTGTGCTCTTAAGCCAGTGCCACTGGTTCATACGTTCAGTTACAACTGGTAGGACTGCTGTATAGACTTGTGAAAGAAAGAGGCATTACTCGGTATTTCTTTATCTTTTTCTTCACCACAGTTGTGAAGTTGTTTTTTTTTTTTGTATTTTCAAGACAGTAATCAGCAAATGAAGACGAGCGCAAAATCCACCAGTCTGCGGGATGATGTTTGAGAAAACAACTGAGATCCCTCAGGCAAAAATGCTTTCTAGTTACCGTTCAGGGGCTGGAGGACCCTTCCCTCAGCCCTCTCTGAAATCCCCACCTGCAAGAGGTACCAACATCTTCTCTGCCTACATACTGCCAAAGACTCCATGGCTCCTCATTCCATCGCATCTCTCAGCACTGACTCTCTTATCCTCCTCTATACTCTGCCAGAAAAGCACCTGAGGGCCTGCACTCCTCCGCAGGTATTTCTGCTGAAAGCTATAATAAATCATTTGCCTTTTGTGCCTCTGCTTTCTGCCTATTTTGCTAATGTGTTTTCTCTCCTCCATTTGGGTTTCGGAGTTGAAAGAGGCCTACTTTAAATAGGTGCAGGAGTGTGCTAAGACAGATTCAGTACCTGCGAATGATTCTTTCTCCTTGTCATCACTCCAATGCCCCATTTCCCCAGGCTGAATAGCACAGGAAGCATAGTGTTGGAGATGCATTGTGACAAGTAACAGGTAAAGGAAGAGGAGGGAAAAGAATAGGCTTTTGTCAGTAATTGAATGTTTGATTCATAGTCCTGTGCTGAGTTTTGTTGCTGTCCACAAGTGTTTTGACCATAGCTCTATATCAAATGCCAGTGACATTGTTTGCGGTAAAGTGACTCTGCAGGGAAGAAAGCACAGTGTTTATTCAAGGGGGAGAATTTCACATTTTGACCAAATTGACTCTGTATAGAGAACAGCTCAGCAGGCCATGTAAATATCAAAAAGGTTTAATGAAACCATGAGGGATGACAGTTTCCAAAGTACATATTATCTATGGAGAGGTCACAGTGGGAAAGCAGCCCGCCATCCGTCTGCATTGCTTTTGGTGGCCAGAAAGTCATGAGCGATCATTGGAATTTTTTGGTCAGAGCCTCGTATTTGAGCCCAAGCCTTTCTGACAACCCCTTCCTCACTGTGTCATCCCCCCATGCACATACTGACACAGACACGTGTATGCACACTTGCACACACAGTTACACGTGAACACACAAACACACACACATGCCCACTCTGCCATCCAGCTCAGTGGCTTGGAGCTCTTGCAAAGTTTCTAAATCCGCCTCCTACATTCTGGGTCGGTGGGAGCGGACTTCCTGAAAACAATGGAATGGACTAATCTGCGGATTTGCCGGTGAATTTGATAAAGGCCCATGTTCTAAGCCAAAGTTTCTCTGACCCCTTGTTAAAAACTCTCCCTACCCACCCCTCCCACCCTTGTTCTTTTTGTGAATAGGGTGAGAGTGGATTACCAGAGGTGCAGTGTCTCTAATTAAACTCTTCTCTCTGTTGCATGCCCCTTTACTTCTATCCCTCCATCTTCTGTCCCACATGCACCCAGACAATCCTCACATTCTCTTTCTTTTGGCACTTTGGCACAACCGTTACTTGTAATGAAAAGGCTCATGCTGATGATCATGCTGATCCCAACAGGAGTAAGGCAAAGCAGTGACGGGGTCACAAGTCAAAGGTCAATCCTCTAGAGGTCAGGCAGAGGTTAATAAGGTGTTTTGTCACTTGAAGAAATGTCTAATCTCCCTGAGATTCAAAAGGATGCATCTTTCCTTTGGCAAACTTCACAAGTAGCCGCCAACCCCCTCCTCATTCCCCTTTTAACCTTTCAAGTCCAATCCTCTTTGTAGTCCACCCTTTGGAGTCCATTTCAACAAGGCAAAACTTTCCAAAGCCGTGGTTTGTCCAGGATTAATATACGGCAACATTTCCTAAATCCCTTCTTTCTATCTGCTCATCATCTTTCATGGAAAGCTGTCCTGCACCAGCCTGTTTGAATGGCTAAATAGTTGATTCACGTGAAACAATTAAAATTCCAGCCTTTGGCCCTCGCTCTGTGAGCTGTCTTGAAGAGTGGAGCTCAGTTGGGCACAGATGCAACTTTACTGACAGGAGCCCACTTGATGAGGGTATTATTTTAATGAAAAAGAGTTGCCTATTCATTACGTGCATGTGGCCATCACTGAGCAACAAAGCACAGATAATGACAGGAACCAAAAGCTGGTGGTGTGCCAGGTCTCCTAAAAATGCTGCCCACTCCCCATCTACAGTGCCAGTGACTCAACCAGACAGCTGCAGACAATAAAGTTGAAAACAGGCCTCCTTTATGGTCCTTGCTGAGCTCACATTTACATATCTACTGTCACTCATTAGATTTGTCATTTATTTGACTAAATTATACAACATTATTTCACATTTCACTCCAGGAGTAGATCTTTTCCAGCGGTGATAGCCTGCTGGCTGTTTTCACAGTCTTTCCCAGAAATAGATGCTGCTGTGCTGAGGACAGACTGGAGCTGAAACTGCAGAATGCATTTGGCATTCTTACGCCTGTTTCCTGTTTACTGTATTATTTTCTTATGCGGTGCTTACTTCCTTATGGGTGGGCGTTGGTATCTTTGGATGGTATCTGTGTGCTTGATTTCAAGCATCATCTTTAGGAATTAATACGAATACTCAGTGTATACTATTTTTAACAGCTGAGTTGACGTTCCAAAAAAAATGCTCACAGAATTGTATCAGTACAACACATGTTGTGTGAAATGTGTGTTTGTGAAATATGCTTGGCTACTCCTATAAGGAAACCAACAACATTAGGTTAAGGCTATGTGGTGTGTTGTGCCACTGACGGTGAAGAATGTGACATATTGAGGACAAACAGACTTTTCCACAAACAAAAATATGGGGAAAGCCCACATTCGTGTTTTCCAGTTGTTTGTGAAACAACCACACTGTTATTGTTTTCCGGTCATTATGAATTACTGCACTGTGAGAAGACTTTTTGGCCTTGTCTATAATTGTCCATTTCTCTGTGAAAGGACTCCCGGGGAACACTGTTGGACTTTGCTGAAGGAGTAATTCATTCAGTGACTTTTGAATGTCCATAATAATTTTGGTTTCCAAAGAAGAATATGTTTGTACAGTTGTAGCCACTTCTTTGTAATGCAATTTTCTATGCAACATTACAACATTATAATAAAAGGCACTTTAGGGCTTTGCAAATAGTTTTAAGTATCAATTTGACATGAGATACAATAGCGTTTTGATTAAATATACCACAGATGCCTTGTAATTTGTATTTCCTATAACAGGGCAAAATTTCTTCTGGGATGAATATTTTTATGTTACAGAAATTGTTCATTGTGCCACATTGTAGACACATAAAAGTTAATTGTATCCTATGCACAGACCACCTTGAGATCTGTAAAAATAAATCTGTAAAAGATCCCTTGGTAAGTGTATATTATTTTTATATAAAAAGCATTCTGTATTAAGTCAAGTCAGCTGTTTAGATTAGTTTCCCTTCTGTGAAAAATCTGTGCACTAATTAATAGTATGCACTTTTTCTTTACATCTTGAAGTGGAAGACCTAGATTGGGTACAGTGGACACTTTGATCTTGAAAATCCCCATTATTTAGGTCAAGAAAAGGAAAATTAGCGATCTAGTCACATTTAGCATTTTTATTGTTTGTTAACACACTGGGAGAAATAGAGTCAGACAAAGTAGAGAGACCCACACACAGTGCAGAGCAAGGAGAAGTTCAACAACGTTGAAGCCAGTGGGGGTGGCACAGAAAATATTTTTGCAGAAAGAGACACTAAAAACTTTACTTTATGGAAATGAGGGAAACATTTACCTGGCAGATCTGTAATGATTTGCTACAAAGAAAGAAAACTTGATGAATTGGGAGTCCAAGAGGTTTTGTCTTCTTTTTCTGTGAAAAATGTCAGTGGTAGAGAAGATAATTTGTGTTATTTATGGGATTCTTCTTCTGTGTGGCCCATGTCTGAGTTACAGGAAAAATCAATGGCTGCCTAGCACAAAGTGACTGTATGGCAGAGACAAAGCTGTGGGACTTTGTAGCAGAGATGCTCACAAGTCTTTGAGCTAGAGTCCAAGTCAAGTCTCACGTCTTTGAGCTAGAGTCCAAGTCAAGTCTCAAGTCTGTCGTGGTTATTACAAATGTTGTATCACCTGCTGCGTTCAATCCAGGTTGCTAATAAAACTGCATAGCTATAAGGAATTCTGTAAATGTAACCCGCTTTTCATTTACAGAGCACAGCCATGTAATGTACATTGCAATTATTGATGGTTTATTAAATACTGTAAGTCAAAACACTCCCCAGACCCAAAACCCAGTGTAACGTTAACTAAATAAAACTGTGACGTTGCATAATCAGCAATAAACCTGTCTATTCTTAACTTAACAGAGCACAACAATGCGTCTACAATTAATGACAACTTATAAACTACTGTAAGTCAACAAACCCTGTTGATTTTCAAACCCAGTTAACTGAATAAAACTGTAAAGTCAAATGGTCAACAATAAAGCTGTAACCTGTTTTTAACTTACAGAGCACAATGTGCAATGCAATCAATGATAGCTTAAACTACTGTAAGTCAACACACCCTGCAGACTCTCAAACCAGTGTAATGTTATAACTAAATAAAGCTGTAAGGCTACATGATCAACAATAAACCTGTAACCTCTTTTCAGCCAATGGCAATAATTAATTAAGGTGATGGCATAGACTGTATGGGTGATGGCAGCCAGCGGGACGTAAATAATTACGTTGATTAACCACCACAAGTTTGGAAAGTAAACAAACGCTCAGTCATCTTTTCATAACGAACGACAGTCGGAGTAAACCTCCCGTAGGTCGTAGCTAAAGCAAGAAGCAAGCTAACGTTAAATGGCCAATGTTGAGCTAAACATGTTTACTCACCACAGGTTACTAACCTATTTGCGTTCAGCACTTCTTTGTTTGGGTCTTGTTGTATGAAGTTTTAAAGCCAAAGTTTATGATGAATGGCACAGCAGCTGCTGCTGTTTGTTGTCCTCTCTCACGTGTGGCCGTCCCACTGGAGTCCGAGTCTCTAACTCGAGTCCTTATCTCTGCTTTGTAGTAATGGTATCTCCCGAACATATAGGCAATTCGAGGCTCCTGAGGCAGTGGACTCGACCATCTCCACGATTAAGCTCAAATCTGCATTAAACATCTAACCCCAACATTACAAGTTTTACCTAGTGACGATGAACTGTTGCACCACAGATTCTTACGCAGTATGATGTGGTTTCCTTTCGCTTTGTCTCATTTGGTAAAAAAATAAAATAAAATACCACTAAAAACTGAAAAACTGCCTGAACGTCAACCAGTTGTAAAATCTGTAACAGTGGCAGTCATTGAAACCTTTGTACGTCTTCTATTGCATGTTTAAAGTGTGATATATAGAGTTCCTTAC